GGATGGATGGATGGATGGATGGATGGATGGATGGATGGATGGATGATGGATGGATGATGGATGGATGGATGGATGGATGATCAGAGGTTGTCTGATAAAGTAAGAGCGCTCACTCTGACGTTTTCTCCTGTCTCATTCCTTGTGTAATGAGACACTTCAGTAATTGTCCACTAAGTTGTGATTCTTTGAAGTTTTCTGGAACCAGAGGAAAACATTTGGGTTTTACATTCTAACTGTTACCACAGGCTTTTACATCGGAAAACATTGAAAGATTAAAATCAGTGTATGTGCTGCAGCAGCGTCTGCAGCAGCGTCTGCAGCTGAGTCTGCAGCTGAGTCTGCAGCAGTGTCTGCAGCAGCGTCTGCAGCAGCGTCTGCAGCCAGCGCTGACAGAGTCTTTGAAGACACTGGGTATCGTCTGCTCCCCCGCTGTCCTGATGCTGCTGGGCTCCCCGGGGCCAACACACACGCAGTTTCCCAGTTTTGTATCTTTTAGCAATCAGCTGCTGCTCACAAAGAGGGAAGCAGCTGCGCTCCTCTTGTAATCCCCACACAGACCCTCCCTATCTCAGATTCACGGCCCTGCTGCTGTTTGAGTCTCAGCAGCAGATCCTAAAGACTTACTGATGTTTATGATGTCTACAAATGATTTTATCAAGAGATGCTTCACTTGGTGCATCTTTCAGGAGGGAAACACTCTCCAGTTAAAATGAGAATCTGTTTTTTATCTGGAGAAGAACTGATCTCTTCTCCTGCTGTATCTGTTTCACATATATCATCTTTTGATATCTTATTACTACTGTTATTTTTTTATTTTTTATTAAACAAAACAACCTCTTTGTATTCAAGTTCTTGAGCTTGTTCTGGGTTTATTTGTCACTTTTCAGATCTGTCGCCCCTCAGTTTGTGGATGCAGAAATCCCTCAGCCGTATGGGATTCAGAATAACTCTGGGAGTAATTGCAGCCTGGATGTGATGAATGTTTCCCACCAGGAGGCTAAACCAGATCCTTAAACCATCAGTGACAACAATATCCAGCTGAGGGAAACCGGGTCCAATCCGAGTGAAGGTTTTCAGAAACATCAGCGCTGCTGAACGGAGTCTGAGAGGAATGTGAGAAAAACCAAAGCAAGTTCTCTGCATTAGGAATAAAAACAACAAACTGCAGCAGGAGCTGCAGGTTTGGGATGTGGTTCATTTATTTCTGTTAACAAAGAAGAGATCAATCTGCTTGATTAGAGCTTCATTTCCTCCCCAGCGGCTCCAGCTGAGCACGAAGCAGAAAGAAACCACCGAGCTGCAGCTGTGGCCTGCGGTTGCCCTGCCGGCCGCTGGAGGCAGGAAGGCCAGGACGGGCAAATTCACACAAACTATGTTCCAGAAAGTTAATAAAAAATAAAAAAAATCTGAAATTTTGACATTGATCACAGAAATTTTCTGAAGAATAAAACAAAACAAAAATGTATCTATGAGGTTTAAATGACAAAACTTTGCTAGAAAAACTCCTAAATTTTTAGATCAATCTCAAAAATTAGATATAAAACAATTTCTTGTTTCTAAAAGTGGAAAAATTTCTGCATTTTTCTTAGAAAATTTCTGACAATAATCTAAAAGTTTCAAAATTTTTCCCAGCAAAATCTCAACTTTTGGAGCTCAGAAATGTTATAAAAATTTCAGATTTTTATGGCAGAAATTTGCTCCTCTTTTGTCCACTCTCCTCCTATCAACAGTGGTCCATCGTACCAAGATGCTGGGAAAATGTTGCCTTATTTATTTTTCAGTTTTATCAACCCCCCGGTTTTTAACCAACAACCTCCTTCCACCCCCAGGATGAAGGTGTGTTTGGTTCGCTGGGCATCGGCGCAGCTCAGGAGGCAAAAAGCAGCTTCAGTTCCTGCTGCTCACCATTGATCTGGATGGATTTTACTGTGATGTGGTTTGTGTTAGTGCTGCGGTTACATGCTGTCCACTGGCTCAGATGCTGCGACCTGACAGAGCAGCATCACAAACTGATGATGTGATGAAGATTTCTCTCAAAGCAGCTCCTTCTGCAGGTGGAAGCAGCTTTTTTGATTTTTCTCAAATGAATCGAAAGGTTTTGCAAATCAACACCATTTCAGGGGGAATCTGTAATATCTAAATGGTGATTCAATGCAAACTTGACCATTCTATATACTTTATTTCTATGGTTTCTAGTTTCTAATTTCTGGGGCAGCAGACCCCACTAGGACTGTGTCACTCCACAGCTGCATGTGACTCATTCATGTTAGCAGATGTTGGCAGGTGTGATTCTGTGTCATACATATACAGCTCTGGAAAAAATGATCTGATTTTACTCTTTATAGGTAAATGTTTAAGTAAAATGAAGCAAAACTACTGACAACATATCTCTGAAGTTCCAGGCAAAACTTTGTATTTATTTTTGGAAAATGAGAAAATGTCATAATAATAAAAAAGATGCAGAGCTTTCAGACCTCGAATAATGCAAAGAAAACAAGTTTAGATACATTTAGAAACAACAAAACTATTGTTTTAACTCAGGACGAGTTCAGAAATCAATATTTGGTGGAATAACCAGCAGGTTTTCAATGGGGTTCAGTGCAGGCGTCTCTTCTGTATGTAGTTATTAACAGTTTTAGTTGGACAAAACTATTTAATTTCTTATGTGAATGTATGTAAATAAGCAGTGACGTTTAGAAAAATACACCAACAAATAACTTCTCTTGGGCCTGAGCCCTGCTGGGGGCTGAGGCCCCTAAAGGTCAGATCCTAGAATCGCCCCTGCTTTCCAATCAGATTTTGTTTTAAAGGGTTTTCTTTACGCATCGCTGTTCCCCATTCTGAGCTCTTTGGGTGTACTGTCCCTTTAAATGTCCTTATTAGGGAAATCCACTGCGCATGCGCACTGGGACTGTTGAAAACTGCGTCAACTTCATGTTTTGACAGCTAAAGTTTGTGAAGATTTGTGAAGTTTTCGGACATGGTGAGTCATTAAACTTTTCTTTCGGTGTTTTGTTTGTTCCGTCCAGAATGTTGAAGTTTATTTCTGCAGTTTCTGGGCGGCAGGAAACCAGTTTAAACCAAAAATGAGTTTATTTCTACACGTTTCAGGACCTTTGCTTTTCCTGCCACTTTTCGCCCCTGAGTTTAATCCTTTATTTATGAATTCATGTGGGGATGAGAACAAATGCAGGTTTGCTGTAAACTGGGAGTTTCTGGGCGCTTTACTGGTTTAACTGGCCGCATTGTGTCGCCATGTCCGCTGCTGGTTTCCTCGCATTGTGTCGTTTTCCTGCAGCTCTGAGGATAAAAACATGTTTGTCTGCAGAAACATGAAACATGTTGCATTTTAATGTCACTAACAGCTGGAAATGTGTTTCCATCTGTCATTTTATTTACACTTTTAGGTTTTGAAACGTATAAAAATAAAATGTTCACACAAAGTGAAACTTTTATGCTTCACGCAACAATTTTTCTTCTGCAATGAGAAAAATGTAAAAGCATTTCTGGTTTCTTTCTTTAGTGGAAATTCAATAAAAAACAAAAAATATCTATTTTTAAAATTATACCTGTATAAAACAAAGTATTTGTTGTGGCAGGCTGCAGTTTTTTGGTTAAAGTTTGAATATGTGGTAAAGTCAGATTCTTACTGAACATTGAAGGGTAAGAGGACAGTATTGTGCAAAAGTTTCAAACCAGCCCTCATGTCTGGTATTCTGGGTTTTATTTCATTCTGAGCTTCATTTTAACCGTTCAGACTGACGTGGATCAGCAGGTTTCTCAGGTTTCTGTGGACCGTGGCTGCTTTTCCTCTCAGCACTGGTCCAACCTGAACTGGACTTTGGTTCTGCTCCATGACTCATCCGTCCATCTATTGTGCACCGGCTCACTGGGCTGCACCCTGAGCAGGTTGAAACTCAACATTCACCCAGAAAAAGGATCCAAAACTCAACAGGAAACTCTGCAAATAAAATAATTTACTTATGAATTTTACATATTGCAATTTTATTTTTGGTGTTTTATTGTGCTCTTTTTTAAAATTCTTTCTTATTTTATGTTCAATTTTCTGGTCATTGTCTTAATTTGAAAACTAATTCTCTTGATAAATCCTGATTCTGTTCCAGATTTAACCCCTGATGTTCCGGTTCTTCTGATGGAAATCTCAGTCAGACTGTCTTCTCTTTTGTCCTCCAGAGCGAAGATGGATGAGGACGATGGATTCGAGGTCCCGCAGAGGAACGAGTATCGCTACCTGGTGCAGGAGGACGAGGAGGAGGAGGTGCAGTACGTCCGGCACCGCCACTACATCAGCCCCTTCCTGGTTCTGTCCAAACGCTGCATCCTCCTGATCTGCCTCGGCGTGGTCGCCCTGCTGGCGCTCGCCGCCTACCTGGGCTACGTGGCGCAGACGCTGCCGCCGGGACGCGCCCAGGTGTCGACGGACTGCGGCGAGTTCAGAGGAAAACATGTGAGTTGAGACTCAACAGGCTGGAAGGTCAAGAAATATTTCATGTGAGAAACTCCAAGATAAAGTCAAATGTATTTATAATGAAATATCAATGAAAATCTGATCAAATGAATAAAAACAGGAAACGTTTCCTGCTGATGTCGGCACAAATATCCAAATTTCCTATTTTTATCTCCAGTCTCAGTTTCATTTCCTTTTTTCAGACTTTAGAGCTGAAATTTAGGACTCCTTAGCAGAAAATGCTAACGGTGATACTGATAGTATTTACTTCTGAATACACAGCAAAATAATCAAGTTATATTTTATTTCTGTTCTAATTTTATAAATGAAATTTGTTAAATCTGCAGTGAATGTACTGACAGGAAATACCAGCTGTGACCAAAATAAACCTGTTAGTGACTTCCTGTTTCCATGTGGCTGTTCAAAATGGGAAAGACAACAAAACACCATTTGGGTTAGATAGACGTGTGAAACGCAGCTCCTGGTCTCAACTCGTCGTTACGAACATCTAAACATTGGTCAATGTGTGTCGCGATGGCAACCAAGTCTGTTCAGAAATGAAGGAAACTTGGATCCAGATTCACCGCCTCTGCTTTTTCTCATGTAGGTCGACAACTCAGAAATATCCAAGTTTTTGTTCTAGAAAATTTATTAAATTAATCTTAAAATTGCTAAAATCTTTGGTTTAAATTTACTCCTTTCTTTTCTGTGTGCAATAAATAGAAATGCTCCGTCACAGATTAGCTGAGCTGAATGGCTTTTTCTTCCAAAAGAAAAAAAATTATTCAAAGTATAATTTTACGAAATATTCGCAGACTAATTTTGAGTTTTCAAACTGTTAAAACAATTCAGAATTTTCAGGACTAAATATTAAAATTTTTTTTTAAATTAAATAAATGTTTTCCCCTCATTTTTCTATATTTTCATCTCTTTGCCAGAAAAGTAAAAAAACTGTATTTATTGCAGCATGAGAGATCAACACAAGGTCGACCTTTGCCCCGGTGTTGGCTCAGATCAGACGAGCAAAGACCTGAAATCAGGAAATGAAAATGAAGAATCAGAACCTTCTCCTGTCTGCTGGGTTATTAAAATCTGCATTAATAAAGTTTGCATCAGTGCAGTGTTAAAGCGGCGGTACATTTCTAGATACATTTCTAGATATTTGCATTTGCAGGAAAATGGGGCCTACTCCTTTAAGGGCATTCCCTTCGCCGCTCCGCCGGTCGGGGAGCGGCGCTGGGCTCCTCCATCCGACCCGGCGTGCAAGCAGGGCGTGACGGACGCCACGCGCTTCCGCAGCGTTTGCGCTCAGGTGCAGCCGATGTCGAGCGCGGGGAAGGTGATCGGCCAGGAGGACTGCCTGTTCGTCAACGTGTGGACGCCCACGCTGCGGCCCGGCGCCGCGCTGCCCGTCATGGTCTGGATCCACGGAGGATCCCTGCAGACGCTCAGCGGCGGCGAGCCCGGATACTCGCCCACGGAGAAGCTGGCCGCCGACACTCAGCTGGTTTACGTCAGCTTCAACTACAGACTCAACGCCTTCGGCTTCCTGGCGCTGGAGGTGTTGAGAGAAGGTTCTCCAAGAAACACCTCAGGTCAGTCAGCCAGTAAAGTCCAGTAAAACCTGCTGATGCCCAACTCTCTCACCTCTCTGCTCCTAAAATAAATTAGTATTGTAAGTGTTTACAGTAAAGGGAAGGAAAAATAGTTTTTATTTTTTCTTCCTAAATATTAAGCTGTTAAAATTCCTGCAGTTTGACCCAGAAGAAACCGTAATGAGAGATCGGTACAAATCTGAACCAGCAGCCGGCGATGGGCACCGCTACATGAAAAGTTAACTTTACTAAACATAAACGTTTCTTCTACTATTATTAACATAAAAATGTAGCTGGAGCTAATCCTGGTACCTCTACTGCTGTATTTCTATTAAGTTTCATTTACGTCTTGAAATGTATGTGAAACTAGATTTAATGCTCAGATTGAAATGTATGATAATTGTTTCTATTTCCAGACTTTATTCTCTGTTCCTTTGTCATCCTGATAACTTTCTGAAGATCTGTTGCTCCAAACATTTCATTTTAAGTGATAAATAATTAGCGATAGTGAATCTGCCACTGGCAGCAACTGAATCCTGTCACCTGGAGTTGAATCTGACGTCTTGTATCGTGTTTTGGTTCTGGTGCATCATTGGGAAGGAGTAACAACGGGATGCTCAGCGTAACTAAATCATGTTTTCTGGTTCACTGTGCAGGCAGAGCTTGAATCCCAGCATCATTTCTGGGCAAATAAAGGCACCAGAATAAAAATGAATGTTTTTCTTTAGAAGCTCGGTGAAGTGGAGGAAGTAACGATTCACTGCCTGGTTCCCACTGAACTCTGCTGTATTAAGAAACTTCTAATGGCCTTTTTATCACCAGCTCCTTCCTCTCCTTTTAATATTTATGTTGTTTACATTGTGCTGCTGCTGCTGCAGCCTGAAAACACGCCTCCATTAACATCTGAATATCTAATGAAGGTTAATGCGATGTGGATAAATGGGGCTCATTTCCGGGTTCATGTTGGCGAGTTCGGCCGGGAAACTTCGGTTACATAACTCAGAACAGCGCTGACCTTGATGTGAAGCGACCCGGTAAATGACGCTGTAATGATGATGATGAGGAGGAGGCGGAGGCGAACCACTTGAGTCGCTTTCCTCCTCCATCAGCTCGTTTCTAATTCTGGTTCCTCCTGATTCCCCGGCCCAGTTCTGCCGTCCCTCAGCTGCAGGCCGGTGAATTTAGCTCATCCGCTGATCTGGTTTCGTTTCCGACGGTGAAAATGGGCCAGTGGAAAGAAATCGGGTCCCTCAAAGTAATCGATGCCTTTCGATCCTCCACAGGGAACTACGGTTTCCTGGACCAGATCGCGGCGCTGAACTGGGTCCAAGGAACATCCGCAGGTTCGGAGGTGACCCTGGAAGGGTCACGATATTTGGACAGAGCTCAGGTATGGAAGCAGGACGGGTCACCGGGTCAGGCTGTGAGATCGGCACCAGCTCCATCATGAGGTGGAAGGAAAACATGTTGGTGGTGAATTCAGAGGAAGTGCGACTGCTAAATAAAAATGGAGAATTTAGAGATTTGGGAGAAGATTAGAGGCAGCGGGTCGCATCAATAATTTGACTTGGCTTCAGGATGAAAGGGTTAAAATGGGTTGGATCTGTAGTTCTGCTGAGGTTCTGAAGCTGCTACAAGGTTTTTTACAGTTTCTGCCCAATACCTGACCATGTGTACAGCACATCTCCTAAATCATGACCTATGACCCCTTTATTCCGTCAAAGGCCCCTAAACTCTGGAGATGAAGCAGAACAAACATAAAGAAAAAAAATTACTTTTTATTGCAGCCTGTCACAAAAACACAGTTTATTTTCTACCATGAACCTCTCAGCCCCGTCATGATGTTGTGTGTTTTATGGAGCTAAAATGGGGCCAAAAACTTAAAGACAAATAATAGAGGTGAGTTTGAGCCATAAAGTTTGTTTAAAAAAAAATAAAAGCTAAATTGGGGCCTATTTTTTAATTAGAGTGCTAAACTGCATCCATAAAGTTTTTAATAAAAATTATATGGAGCTAAATTGGAACCATTAATTTTGTTAAAAAAACATTATGGAGTTCAGTTGGCCCATAAAAATTATAATTATAATTATTTTAAGAACATGGATCAGCATTGGACCAATTAAACTTGTTTAAAATAATTGGAGTTACATTGCAGCCATACAGTTTTATCTAAAACAATATGGAGCTAAATTGGGGCCATAAAGTTTGCTTAGAAAAATTACAGATTTAAGGGACGTAAAGTTAAAAATATATAAAGTTAAATCTTCATCATTAGGTTTGCAAAAAAAATACAAATATGGGGCAAATTAGGGCCATAAAGTCTATTCAAAACAGCTTTTTGCAACTAAAAATTATTTGCCAATTTCAGTTTTCTTATTTTTTTAGTTAACTTTTAGTTTTAGTTTAAAAATGTATTTTTCAAACTGAAAACAAAAGTATTTGAAACTGGCCTCTGATGGCCGGAGACGTGGAGTCAGGACTGAAAGCTTAAAGCAGCAGCTGGAAAAAATACTTTCCTTTTCCAAACAAACGTCTGTAAAACATCATCCTGGTATTTTTCATGTAATGTTGATGCAGCTCAGGACTGAGAGGAGATGAACTCAAATAGAGAAGCAAAGTTTACTAAACTAGGCATAAAGGCTAATATCTGGTTTACCGTAATAAATGGGACAGATGTTGAGTTACCATCTATTCTAATTTTTCGAGTGTAAGCGCAGCAGAAATGTATTTCATTAGGCTGAACTGCAGCCTCTTGTGTTTCCTCTGACTGATGGAGGCGGGACGTCGGTGTGGACCTTGATGACGTCGCCGCTGGCCAGGGTCTGTTTCACGCCGCCGTGGATATGAGCGGCTCGTACGTACTGAATGCCACGCTGGAAAAAGCCGAATCGGACAACCTGGTGTTCCTGGAGAAGACGGGCTGCAAAGACCTGGCCTGCCTGCGAGGTCTGTCCATGAGACAGGTGCTGCAGGTGAGATCCGATCATCTGCAGGTGAAGCAGGAGTCGCCAACACGGTGACACCTGGTCGCCTGCAGAGCCACTTCTAAAAATAGCAGCCGTCATCAGGGAGCACTGCCAAAAAATGTTTAATTAAATGTTTTTATTGAAGTAACAGCATTTGTTTATAATCTAGAATTAAAATAAAATAATAAAAATGTTTAAAATAACTTGCTGCGTGTATAAAACGTAGTAAACTTTTCTAGGGTTAAAGTTCAGAATGATGTGCAGCAGCTGATGAAAATATTTTGGATTTCTATGATCTAATTATCTTCATTATTAACAAATTGTGGAGAAAAGATATTTTTAGTATCAAACATCTTGTAGGTCACGCACATCAGTGAGAGTCTGGAGGGGAGGCCAAATCTCCCCCTCCAGAATGAGATTGGTGCTTTTTCTGTAAACTCATGAATGATCAGTTTGATCCTCCAGTAGATCGAAGAGGCGTCGTTTGGGTTTTACCGGAGCTTTTTACTGTGTGGTTCTGGTGGATCTCTGAGCTTTTTTTGTGGTTTTGCCAATTGTAGAATACGAAGGTGTGTAACAAACTATATAAGGACATGTTGTCCTTAAATAAAAAGAGGGAGACAGTAACCATTGTCATCCTGGAGAGGCGTCACATTTTCTGATCTTAGTTTCTACGTTTGGCAAAACGTGGACCAAAAGTTTCTAAGCAACATTTAACCCTTGAACTACTGGTGAAAAACTGCAACATTAAAACGTGGATCTGAAACCATATCAACTTTTCTTCTCATCAGTTTTTCTCTCATTCTTGTGCTGCAGCTCCGTGCTGCCTTCAGGAGAATGGGACTTCAGAGTATCATCGTGGCATTCACTGTGTAAACCAATGCTTTAAGTGGAGAAACACAAGTGATGGTGCTTCTTTATGTCATACATGTATGGAACAGAAACATGGAAACAGAATCTGGTTATTGATTTGTAGATCAATAAGTTTATTACAGAAATGTCAAAGAACAAAGTTGGTTCTTAATCAAATCCATAAGAACCTAAAGATCCAGACATCAGTCTCTTCATCCTGAGACCGAAAATAATATCAATGGCAATTTATTGAATATATCATAAAAATAGATTAATAAATATTCTGAAGAGAAACTGTTTAGTTTTTCAACATTAAAACATTTGTAGGGATTTTGTAGGTAAAACATTGAGTTCTTTAATAAATTCAGTGTTTCGTGGTCAATATAATTTCAGCATTTCATAACTGTGGGGGCAGTTTGGTGGCTTCCAATCAATGACAGAAAACATGCAAACAAAATGCCTGAGAGCTGCAGGCGGTTCAGGCAAACAGAGAAATATTTCATCAAATATTGAATGATGAAATATTGCCCTGTTTTTTGTTTCATTCTTTTTAATTGCCCTGTAGGCAGCAATTTATTCACATATACATACATTTATTATTATTGATACTTTAATTACAGATGAGTTGCACAGGTTTATGTCATGAGGGATGATGGCATGTTTGTAGTGTGTGTGTAGTTTCTCTCCTGCCACTGCAAAATGTAGAAAAACCTCAAATAAACACAAAATAATATAAAATCAGCCACTTGTGACCTGACAAGTCGATCACAGCAAGACCAACAGAAACAATAAAATTAAACATTAATCAACATTCTGATGGGTAACGATGGCTAAATGTGATATTCCAATAATTTACTATGTGCAGTTACTTTTTATTTTTATGATGTGAATCATAACGATTCACATCATCCCAGTTAATCTGGGACACAGATAAACTGGATTGAATTGATGCTGTGGTGAAGCTGCTGGTGGCAGAAACATGGAGCTGCAACAAGAAACAATGAAGAGTAGAAGAGTTGCCATCAATACAGATCTAATCATTCAGGTTTAAAGACGAATATAACTTCAAAAATTAATAGAAAAAAGTAAATTCCACAATTTGTGATTCAATTATCTCAAGTTAAATTTACACTTCTGATTAAAAGTTCACATAAAATCCCCACAAAGCAGAACTTAATGAGAAAAAATGCTTTAAATGTTATTAGAAATAAGCTTTAATTTGATGAACAGGTTGAAACATTGAATGCAGGTTTAAAACTGATCATCAATAAGATGTGAAAAATGAAACAAGATGACACAATCAGTAGATCAATAAATAAACTATTAGATTTGACTTTATAACAATCAGAAGCAGAAAATAACAGATTTACTGCTGAGGATGTTTCCAATATCTTAAAATCATCATCTTCATCAGATCAACGATCAGCCTGATTAACAGGACAGATGATCAGAGGAGCAGAGTTTTTACCTCCATCATATTGCATGGACTGAAATGGGTATAGTTTCTGAGTGAAGCAGCAGCCAGTAAAGGAGTAGATCAGAGCTGCAGCATCTGCGTCATAGAAGGAGACCAGACCCTCCTCATAATCCACAAACACCCCCACCTTCTGAGGACCAGGATGGAGATGGAGACGGACTGGAGAGTCAGCAGCAGCTTTGTACTCATTTCATTTCTCAACAAATAGTCCAGAAACCGTTCTGAGGACTCAGTGTGATTTTCCCTTCCTGTTGATGGATTCTCTGGCCACTCCTAAATCCCAGTTAGTCTTTCCTTTAACCTGAACCTCAAAGTAAAATCTGCCTGAAGAGAAACTCTGCTGTCCTAAAACAAACACAGTTAAATCTCTCTGGATTGTCTGGAAGATTCTTCCATTCATCTCCATGTTTCACCTGTTTTCATCATCAGACACAGGATGAGTTTAGGATGAGCCGAATCAGGATCCAGAGTCACATCAACAGCAAACTGCTGGATCCTCTTCATCTCAGCCTCCATCAACTTCTCCATCATCATCTCCCTGATCTTCTGCTCAACCTGGGCCACAGCTCTCACCACCGTCCCCTCATATAATGGTGGATGAACTCTGACCTTTCTCCAGGTCCTGGTGGGTGGAGCATCTTTCAGGGAGGAGAATCTCTGCAGGAGGTGGAGGTGATCTTCATCCTGTGAGAGCTGCTTCACCTCAGAGCTCCTCTTCTCCAGCTCAGAGATCTCCTGTTCCAGGTCTGTGATGAAGCCTTCAGCCTGTTTCTCTGCAGCTTCCTGTTTGTCTTGGATCTCCTTGAGGAGCTCCTTCAGGCGTCTCTCAGCAGACTCCATCAGAGCCATGAAGACCTGAACACCTCCAGCTTTCTCTCTGTCTGCAGCATCTCTACTGATCTTCACCGACTCTCTGATCTCCTGGATCTTCAGTCGTCTCTCCTGGATCATCTCCTGAACTTCAGCCTCCGTCTTCCTCAGCTCTGTGCTTCTTTCCTTCAGATTCTTCTCTCAGAGGAACAAACTCGTGGTTCTTGTGGTCTGAAACACAGAGTGAGCAGACGCATGTCTGGTCGGTCCTGCAGAACAGCTCCAGAGGTTTATCGTGCTGCAGACACATCCTGTCCTCCAGGTTCTCCACCGGCTCCATCAGCTGATGTTTCTTGAGACGTGGAGCGGTCAGGTGAGGCTCCAGGTGAGTCTGGCAGTAGGAGGCCAGACACACCATGCAGGACTTCAGGGCCTTCAGTTTGGGTCCAGTGCAGACGTCACAGGGAACTTCTCCTGGTTTGGCAGCTTGTTGCTCTGAGCTGCTGCTGGCTCCCTGCTGAGCTTCACCTCTGAACTGATCAACCATCTCTTTGAATAAAGTGTTGACTCTCAGCTGAGGCCTGGAGGCGAAACACTCATTGCACAGAGGACACTTGTAGGGACCATTTGTATCCCAGAGCTGAGTGATGCAGGTTTTGCAGAAGTTGTGTCACATGGTGTGCTGACTGGATCAGTGAACACATCCAGACAGATGGAGCAGAGAAACTGATCTTTAGACTGCAGGTTGCTGCCAGAAGACATTTCTGAACTCTGAGGACAGATCAGGGAAACTTCAGTTAAACAAGTTGATTAAGGGGCAGAATTTAGTGTTTTAGATTCATGTTGGGCCTTTTATCACAATCATGATTAAAACTTTATCTGAAGGTTTGTGCATAAAACTGACATGATGCTGTCAGGAACAGGAAGGAGTTTTCATGAAGGTTTGATTGTTGTCATGAAGTGTCATTCATTAAATGACTTTTATTCAGACGACACTTTAATGCAAGTTTTTATGTAACTTTGCATTAAAAAAATCATAATTTACATTTATCAATTATGACTTATAACGAAGTCAGCAGATCCACCAGCTGTTTGCTAATTACTGCTGGCTAGTCTGAAGGAGCTGAGTGGGGAGGGCTAACGCTGCTCTGAGCTTGGAAACTCAGAAGAGGAGGAGCTGCGTCTCGGAGGCGGGGCTAGGTCCACCCAGGTGTTTTGATTGTCTGCTGCTGTCATGGTGGGTCTCAGAGAGCCAATCACAGACAGGCTGGCATTAGGATGATTTATTTTCTCAGTTAATCATAAACTTAAACAGGTTGGGAAGAGGAGGGAACAAAACATGAACTCAGCAAAACAACAGAGAATCTAGCAGAGCAGGAAACAAAACCGGGAACTGGAACAACTGGTGAAGCAGGTTGGTGATCCAACTGAACTGATTGAAAAGACTCAACTAGAATAAACTGAACACTACAGAAACTGTTCATGAATGAAAACATCAGAATCATTTTGAAAACCAGACAGGAAGAACAAACGATAGAAAAACTATGAACCATCATCTGCTTCCCTTCTGATGATCACAAGAAAAGTCTTTAATAATTTACTGTGTTGGTAGAAAACCAGTAAATCAGTTTTCTGCTGAACTCACCAGAATCAATCTGTTGATGAGAAGAAAATCCTGAACTCAGTTTGGAGGAGAAACGTTTTTGTCCACAGCAGCTCAGGCTTTGACCAACTTTTACTTTCTGCAGAGTGACGTTTTGATCTCATGACTCTGTTGCTCCACCTTAATGTGAGTCACTGTAAAGGTGGAGCTTATTGATGCTCTTCTGTAGATGAAATGATTGAGTGGAGTTTGAGCTCTCCCGTAGTTCTAAGAACGGTTGTTTGGACCCGCCTGAGATTTTTACCTTGCGGTTCTGGTGGGTCTCATATGAGTGAATAAATTTCACACAGTAAAAAACTCAGGCGGGTCCAAACGACGGCTTTTAGAACTACAGGAGGATCAAAGTCTGATCGTTCATTTTTATCTCCAGAAATGCTTCAAGCCGCCAAACTAAACTAAAGTGATAATATTTAAACTTCGGCCTCCAGACTCACACAGATATGAGATGTTTGACACAAAATATATTTTTCTCCATAATGTTTCTCCACTATTAAAGTGGTTAATAGTGAAGATAATAAAAAATCCTAAAACTATTGTTTTATTTTTTTCCTTAAAGCCGTACAGCTGCAGTCGCTGCTGCATCAATCCTGGAATCACAGAAAATCTCCAAAAGGCATCAAACCCTGAGAACTAATAACTTCTGATCACTTTATTGATTAACCATATCCACCTTGGTAAATCATTAGTGATGTGAATATTCCTTAATATTAATATGATCAGGCGGCATGTAATCATATATAAGTAAACATATTATTGTTGTGAAGTCAAAGACCCAGCAAACCCTTTGTGACCCTCTGAATCAGCTCCCAGTCTGAAGGTCGGTGACCCCTGGGAAAAACTCTAGGAAAGGATTTATTTAGTGTCAGAGCAGAGAAGATATGCTGGTAATTAAAATACTGTAATCATAATTCTCTTTAATTTCCTTTCTAATATTCAGGCTGATTTTTTTTACTCTCCACTGAAGACATTTGCAAAAATGTAAAAGCACTTTTTCATCTTTATGGATTATAAATGTCAGATGCGGCTCCTCGTGGACCCCAGCGTCGCTTCATAAATGGAAAATGAAATTTACGGCCGCTCTTAAACACACATTTTCCTTCAGTCTGAAACTCCATTAAGGTTTCCTGAACGGCGCGTTTCACTGCGACCTCGGGACGAATCCAGAGTTCATCTCATCGTCGTTTTGATTCATTACTGGGAGCTTCTGCATCTTCCTCTTACTGGTTTTTAAATGTCACTGGAAACGTTTAATGGTGCTCAAACGCTCACAGGTTTCAGCACGTTTCTTAATTTTTATTTAATTTATTGTTGCAAAACTATTTTTATGACATTCCAAATCTCCCAGGCATATTTTAAAATAATTTACTACAATATGCACACATTGAAATAAAGCAGATCATGTTATTCAGCACCAACTAAAAACTATTAAAATAATGAATAAAAAACAAACTGTATTTTAAAAATAGTATTGAAGAAATTGAATTTGCCACAAATAGGATTAAAAAAATGTATTAAAACAATCTAATAAGAAAAATAAAATTGAATTGAATAAAAAGACAAAATAGTATTAAAGCACTTTTTTTTCACTAAAAATAAAATTAAACATATTGGAAAAATATTGTTAAATTTTTATTAAAAAAGGTATTGACGTAGCAATAAACCGTATTAAAAATTTTTAATAAAAAAATATTGAAAAAGTTTAAAAATATCAATGATATTAAAAATGTCATTTAAAACTTTCTTAATTAAAAATAGTATTTTAATCAACCCTCTGAAGGTTCAGACGGTATCTGTGCTTCTCTCAGGCCGTCCCATGGGACCAGTACCCATCCTGGGCCGGACAGGATCTAACCGATCTCCCCACCAGGGGGCGCCTCATCGGGCCGGTCGCAGTGGTGGACGGGTTCGTCCTGGAAGCTCCGCCTTTCGAGGTTTGGGAGAAAAAGCAAAACTTCAGCGACGTGCCGTTTGTGGTCGGGACGACGGAGCAGGAGGCAGACTTCAGGTGGGATTCCCTGGTTCTGGTTCCGGTCCTGGTTCTGTTTCCGGTTCTGGTTCTGGTTCTGTTTCCAGTTCTGGTTCCGGTTCTGATTCTGGCTCCGGTTCTGGTTCCGGTTCTGGCTCCGGTTCTGGTTCTGTTTCCGGTTCTGGTTCCGGTTCTGGTTCCGGTTCCGGTTCTGGCTCTGGTTCTGGTTCTGTTTTCAGTTCTGGTTCTGGTTCTGGTTCTGGTTCCGGTTCTGGTTCTGTTTCCAGTTCTGGTTCTGGTTCTGGTTCCGGTCCTGGTTCCGGTCCTGGTTCTGGTTCCGGCACTGGTTCCGGTTCTGGTCCTGGTTCCGGTCCTGGTTCTGGTTCCGGCACTGGTTCCGGTTCTGGTCCTGGTTCCGGTCCTGGTTCTGGTTCCGGCACTGGTTCCGGTTCTGGTCCTGGTTCCGGTCCTGGTTCCGTTCTGGTTCCGGTTCTGGTTCTGCTTCCGGTTCTGGTTCTGGCTCCGGTTCTGGTCTGGTTCCGGTTCTGGTTCTGGTTCCGGTTCTGGCTCTGGTTCTGGTTGCGGTTCTGGTCCTGTTTCCGGTTCCGGTTCCGGTTCTGGTATCTGACTCCAGTGTTTTCCTCCTCAGTCCTCCTGCCCTGAACATCTCTGAGTGGACCTGGGGGGACTACAGCTGGTTTGTAAGGGGTAAGGTCAAAGGTCCCGCCTGCTGATGGACGACTTCCTGTTTCTGTACAGGAAGTAACTAAACATGAAACTGATGCTGCAGGTTGAAACATTTTCTAATCTTACTGCAGGAGGAGCTTCAGATGTGCAACAAATAGATTCACTACAGAAACACAAAACCTTAAATATCTCAGTACAATTGAAATAAGACTAAATTAACTTAGAAGTAAATTTTCAGCAAGATTTTCTTTAGCTTGTTTCACGTCAATAACTATAGATTTAAAAAAAGTTCATCTGGCAGATTATTTCACTTATAACAGAAAAAATGATTTTTCATCAGTGAAATAATCAGCCGGAGGAATTAGAACCATTTCATCAATATTAGGGAATTATTATAAAAGAAATCTTGCTGAAAAGTCACTTATACGATCATTTCCTTATTTCAAGTGAACTGAGATATTTGCACCAGAAACTAGACAGAAAGATTTTATGTTTTTAATGTTTTTAGTGTTTTTGTTGGTCTGAATTTCATCTCTGCTTCTGCTTTTTTTTTCTGCCGTCCTCAGAAAAGCTCCAGTCCTTCGGTCCGAATCTCCCTAAAGACGCTCTGGATCTGTACCCGTCCTCGGCCCCCTGTCCCACCAGAGACCGCTGTCCGGAGAGGGCCTTCACCACCATGGTGTCTGACATCAGGGTCACCTGTCCCAACAACGACCTGGCCAGGAGGGCCGCAGGTAACCGAGCCAGCAGCCTGCACAGTTTACAGCCTGTACAGGCAGGCAGGCTTTATTTGTCTCCCTGCTGCATTTCCCTCAGAGCGTCGGCGCAGACTGCAGGTGTAATTCATGCAACAAGTCTGTCGTCTTCCGGGTTTGAGTTGAGCTGCAGATTGGTGCGTCATGGAGGCTCTGAGCCGCTCGGCCTCGTTAACATCGCTCTGAATAAACCTGACATGTTGAGAGACGTGACTGAAGGGCATTTTATTTTTCTGCATTTTAAACTTGCATCATGCTTTAAAAAAACAAAAACAAAAATCACCTTTTTTATCCCCACAGATGAGTTTGGAGAATAATTTCTAAATCAGGCATTTTAATGCTAATGCTAGGTTACATTTTGACACAAAGTGGGAGCAAATGAACCTTTTTAGCCCAAATATTAACATTTGAAATTAAGCATCTTGTGTTACTGTGGTGAGCAACGCTAACTAAAGAGTTACTCATGCTGATCCTAAAGCTAAAGCTCTACCAACAGAGTATTTAGCAGAAGCTAATGCTAACATGCTAACTTCAGTTCCAGTTAAATCCGCCTTTTAAAGACAACAATCCTGGAGCTTCAGTTTGATAATTTACGTGTTCTGTGACGTTGTGTAAATATTGTCTTTGTCCTCCGTCCTGCCAGAGGCTCTCAGGAGTCCGGTGTATCGATACGTTGTGACCCACACGCCCTCCGGACCCGTCAACACGTCCAGCCGGCTGCTGCCGTTTCCCAGCCGCTTCTCCTTCCACTGCCTGGATGTTCTGGCTTTCTTTGGAGGACTGGACCGCTTCCTGGCCAAACCGCTGTCTCCTCAGGACCGCAGCTTCCAGCAGCTCTTCACTCACCACCTGGTCAACTTCGCCAAAACAGGTACAGGTTCTGCTGGGTTTCTGTCTGGGAACCGGTTCTGTTTTACCAAGAAGATCATCTTCTACTGGAACCATTACCCAGAATGCTAAACATCATTTTCAATGTGCTGCAGTTTCTTTATGCATCTTGTTTATTTACATAAATATTGGATTTTATCTATTGACTCAAACTGTTGATCTGAAATGACCTGCAGGTCAGAGAAAACTGGTTTAGTCTGGTTGAAATACATCGCACTGGTTGGTTCCAGCCTTACTGGGTCTGACTGGGTTTCATCCTGGGATCTGGAGGAGAAAGAAAAACATTGATGTTTCCATTCATCCGTCTGTTTTGCTGATTTGATCCATAATAATGATGAAAGAACATTTTAAACATTTTATTATCAAATATTTCATTTGTCTCCTTCTGGATTCATTGTTTTATTTCTGTCTTTGGGTTTTATTGTTGAATTAAGAACAGATTAAATATGAAGTGGAACCAATCACAGCAGGACTGAATCCCTGATCCGTGCTAAACCAACCAGTTAACTGCTGAGCTGAACTGGGAGAACTGGAGCTGGAAACCCACATGCTGGTCTCACACCAGCAAATATAAAACATTCTGATCTGCAGATCTCAGTTTGTGCCACCAGATGGCGCTGTTTCACGCTGTAAGCCGTTTTTCATCTGTTTCTGCGTCTCCTGCAGGGAGGATGGAGGCGGCGTGGCCGGAGTACCCATCAGCCATTGCTCTGCTGTCGGAGAAGCTGGAGGTGAAGAAGAACAACTCGTCCTCTCGCTGTGAGCTGTGGGAGAAGAACGGTCTGTTCGCCTACGCCTGGATGAACTGAGCTGCTGCTGTACAGGTCTCCACCCTGACTGACGTTCTTCAGATTAAATCGCTCGTTTGTTGTGACTTTTGACGTCTATGAACCACTTCGGCTGATGGTAGATTAATAGTCCAACCGGATCGGTTCAGAAACATGACGGATGTTTCTGGGTGGATTCACGCTTCAGTCTGCCTGACGGAGCTGAAGACCAAAGAAAAGTAGGAAATGAGAGAATTCAGATGTTTAAGATGGTGACAGAAATAATACTTTCCAGATCCATAAAGGAAAAAAACAATCAGAACTGTAGGTGGCGACAGACCAGTTCAGCTGCAGCTGATGTTTTATTAATCTTCACATTCGCTCATAAAACTCCCCAGAAACAAATCTCTAAATAAGTAAGTTCATAAATTACTGAATTAACTGTTTTCAAAAGAAACGGAAAGTACATTTAATGTAAAAAAATACTTTATTTAAGGCTGTTGATGCTGATGGCTGTAAGCTGGACGGATCTTTTGTAGCAGTCTGTGTTACAGGGGCGCTGAAGAAGCCTCTGTAAAAGTGCTTTCAGAAGTAAAAATAGAAATGAAATAATACCCAAAAGACTTAAAAATATGTGAACTCTTGACACAGTTTCACCTTTGGTGAAAGTTGAAATGTTCCAGGTAGCGCTGAGCCCTGCTAAGCTGGACACAAGAAGCTCAAAGAGGATTTAAAACACAAAAAAAAAAAAAAAAAAACATAACAATCACCTTTTTTATCAAAGTCTTATGACTTTGTAACGTCCTGTTACAAAGTCATAAGAATATCTCTTCTAATTAAAGATAATTTAACCACTCCAGGGATGAAGTGGTTAAATTCTGCAGTGGTTAAAAGCAGCTGCAGAGAGGTTGATGCTTCACACCTGCTCCCCGTCTCGTCCCTCCCTGATCACAGTGGACAGACGGCAGAAACAAGCAAACAAATCATTCAAACAGAAATAAAAACAGGTCAAAATGTAAAAAATATTAAAAACTTCAGGCATAAAGATTTTTAGAGTTGATGTCTGAAAATCTGCATCTCTATTATTTTTTATATTTTCTTCCTATAAGTTTTTGAAATTATTCCTTTAATTGGAATTTTCCATTTTTCCCTCAGAGTTGAACATCTTCTCTCTGTACATATCTTTGTCTGCCGCCAAGTGATGAAGGCAGAAGCAACAGAAAGATTTTTAACATATTTGAACCATTTTTAGTAACTGGCCACATTGAGACATGAAACTGATTTCAACCTCTAAACATTAATACATTATTGATCAAGTTGTGATAAAAGTCTAATATTTTTTTGTACAAAAAAAGAAAAATCACAAGGCATGACACTGTCACCGCCGTGCTTCAGTGTAGCGTTGCCATGATGATCAGCAGGTGTAAAGCTTCCTTCCTCCTTTCTTTCTCCAATCGGGTTAAAAACCGTTTTTTTAAGTTCTGTCCCGCCAGCTGGCTGACCTTTGACCTCAGATTAATGCCCTCCCCTTCAGTCCAGGAGTTTCATTGCTCTGCTCTTTCACGCCGGACGTCCAGCTGTTCTGTTGTAGCTCTAGGAAATGTTCAGAGAGCTGACCTTTGACCCGACCTCACCTGCATCTCAGCAGAACTTTGTCCCCAGCCGTTTGGAGAGCTTTAAATCGTTTGCATTTCACTTCACTGAATTTATTTTGGTTTTGTTCACTATAGAAACAGCAGGAAGTGAAAACATGTCAGTTTCTCATTTGGCATCAAAATGTTTGTATTTTTAACAGAAGTGTTTGAAACTGTCTGACATCACAAAAATGAGAGAACATTTCATTGGATAACATCAGTATAAATATTATGTGTGAAGTTTAAAAATTTTTTTGCACTTTGCAGAGAAAAAATCACTTTTATAATGTTTGCATTTTCCTGTTTTAACACATTTCTGGTGTCTGTTGCTTTAAATTGTTTGTTTTTTAATTATATGTTTGCAGTTTTCAATCATGTCTTATTTTGTGTTTATGGGAGTTTCACCTTTTTATATGATCAATAAATGGACATAATGTGAAAAAGTCTTGATGAACTCGGATTTCCTTCATCTGCTGTGGCACAGAGCTGAACTCATGACATAAATGATGCTCATTACTATATATATATATATATATATATATATATATATATATATATATATATATATAAAGTTTATTTGATGTTTATAGTGCAATAGCTAATTAGATGGGTTTTTAAAAAGTATCAGAAACACTAAATGTTTGGCCATAATGCATGTGAAGCATGGAGGTGGAGGAATGATTATCTGGGCTCATTTCTCAGCCACGATTAAAGTAAGAAATTACTTTTTGTATCTATGAAATGTTGAACTTTGAACAGGATCCTGCAGAAATGTTGATTCTGAAAAGAAATCAAAACTTTAGAAAACTGGGGGTCGTTCCCATTTATGCTGAAAATATCTGGATATATTACTTTTATTTCTGCTGATATTTGTGGCAGGATTCATTTAAAAGCTATTTTTCTTTGTCAAAAGTGAATTTTGTCAATTTCATTGGTTTTCTATGTAAATCAGTGCTGCTGTAATCCAGTCTAATCACATTTATTATGGTTTAAAATACTAGTCTAAACAGATTCAATGCATACTGGTAATTCATATAAACAAATTTTAATACAATTTTAACTTTTGACAATTATTAACCAGTTTTACTAATAAATAGTGTCCAGTTTGTGTCAATTACATCGTATTCATGGTTTCAAATCATGTTTTCTATGTGTTGTTTCTGATTTATGAAATGAAACTTGTCCCATTAACAGTAATTGGATCAGGAGTGTTTTGGATGTTCCTGTTATTTCTGCTCTCGCTGCGCTTCCCCGTCTGTCCAGCAGGTGGCAGCAGAGCTCCGACCCGGCCGCGCTGTTTGTTTGGAGTCGGAACTCTTCCAGGTTCTGTTTCTTTAAGGCCCGGACCGTTTCGGCTGTGATTCGGCTGTGATTCGGTTGCCGGTTGCCACCCCGCGGCGCCCGCTCAGTGGTCGGAACCGGGTCCCAGTGGTCGGAACCGGGTCCCGGAGCCCGGCTCTCTGCGTGCGGTTGGGCCGCGTGTCGGTGACCTGATGAGGGGGAGGCTTTTGTTTGGCCCCCGCTGCAGGCTGCGCTTCCCCCGGAGGATGCCACGACGAGCTGCGGCTCCTCCTGCACGGACAGCGCAGAGACCCACAGAATCACGGTGAGTGGGTTTGTTCCTGCGTGTTTTACCCTCGTTATAATCATAATAATAATAATAATCACTCGCGATGCTCGTCTCCCATCAGGCGACGTTTGTTTACCTCCAGAGAATAAACGATGTTCCGGTTCCGAAGGTTCGGATCGCGGTAAAGCTGGTCCGGGTCTGTGGAACCGGTCCGGGCGGTGCTGATGCATCACCGCCGGGTTCTGATGGAGGCCTGACATCATCAGAACCATGAAACCAAAACGGAACCAGATTTCAAATATGAATCATTATAACCTGGATCATAAAACCTTAATCTGAGGAGATTATTACAGCTGCAGGTCCAGATGGAGCCCAAATGAAAATAATGAACAAAACATGTTCAGTTTGAGTTTCTGGCATGAAATCAGACTCAGATGTTTCTGCTTTGGGTCAAACAGGAGGAACCAAATCATCTGTTTCCTGTTTTATTCAGATGTTCACATCGTGCATCGATCTGGAAGGAGACGGTTCTGAAATCTGTAGCTCCGCTCCAGAACCACATTTTATTTTAACACAAAGAGCAGAAACTGTTTCCTGGAGCCCAATGGGTCAGAATCCCAGCAGATCCCTGAAGCCTTCATTCCAGTTTGGTTTGGTTTGGGTCGGTTTGTCATGAGGGGAGGCCGGCCCAGAAGAACCACGGCTGGTATCAGAAACTCTCACTAGTTCTTCCTGAGTGCAGACGCAGGACGTAAAGAACAGCATATTTTCTGCTCTCATTTGGACCCAGACCCTGAGAAGGTCTCCAGCCTCCTTGGCGTTTCTGCAGCCAGCGCCGGGCCCGGTTTGGTTTGTCGGCCGTCCAGGTCAAGCAGTGCCGTCCAGTCTCTCCCAGTTTGGGCCTCCACCCTTCAGACTGGGACTGCCGCCAGAGCTCGTGTGCGATTTACTCCCAACCACAGCAGCCGCCACCATATGCTTCAGATGACGACTTCCTCTGGGGGCTTTCAGCAGCCAGACCTCAGTATCAGCAGAACTGCTGCCCTGATGCACGTTCAAACACTCCTCTGCTGATTTACAAGCTATGAAATCATATCCAGCGGAGGGAAAAGTGTGTTTCTGCCTGGTTTATAAAACTTAAAGCCTAAGTACTCTGCGTATGTGTGTGTCTGGGGTCTTCAGGTGCAGAGGATTCTTCTGCACACTATCAGTTTAGGAAAGAACATCGTGTAACCGACATGGGCTGGAGAAAGAGCCACCGACTCCAACCAGGAGAAGCAGGAAGATTGACGACCCGCTAGGTTCTGTTTCTGTCTCCTTTCATTCCAGCTGAAGATGTGAGTCTGACTGGATAAACTCTGGCCGGGTTGCAGCTGCAGTTTGGCGTTTCCTCCTCATCATCGACATTCCTGTTGAGTTAATTTGGGATTTTAATGTGTTATTTGCACTGTTCCTTTTCCAGGAATGGCTTCCATGGACCCGGTACAAACATTTTATTTATCCTCACATACAACCTCAAATGTTTAAATTTTGGTAAATGTCTGTTAGCAAGTTGATCTGAGCCAAACAAACTCCTGGCATCGTTCCGTCTGCAGAAGAGTTTGTTTAAGCTGTCGGTTTCCTGAATCAGACTTTTAAGCCTCTGGTCCAGAATCAGTCTGCGTCCTTGTTTTGGATCATCTTGAATCCGGCCAACTGGTACCAAGTCTCAACCTTCTACCATGAATTCCCGGAGTGACCATGAGCACCCACGAATACTTGAGATTATTGAGACATTCACATTTGAATAGTCCAGACACAAAATATACCTGAATATGCACAAATACACTCGGAGGAAACGGTCTTAGCGATGCAGTGGACGCGAAGGTCTGCCATCTTTCCTTACCTCATACAGCCACTACCGTGCTTCACTTCGCTCTTTGGTCTGAAAGCCTTAAATCCAGAAGCAGGCTGACCTTTGACCATGAAGCTTTTGTGTTGAGGACATTTGACTTGTCCATGTGGACAGCGGCAGGTTTAGTTCTGGGTCTATAGAGGTTCTGGGTCTATAGAAGTTCTGGTCTATAGAGGTTCTGGTCTATAGAGGTTCTGGTCTATAGAGGTTCTAGTCTATAGAGGTTCTGGTCTATAGAGGTTCTAGTCTATAGAGGTTCTGGTCTATAGAGGTTCTGGTCTATAGAGGTTCTGGTCTATAGAGGTTCTAGTCTATAGAGGTTCTGGTCTATAGAGGTTCTAGTCTATAGAGGTTCTGGTCTATAGAGGTTCTGGTCTATAGAGGTTCTGGTCTATAGAGGTTCTAGTCTATAGAGGTTCTGGTCTATAGAGGTTCTAGTCTATAGAGGTTCTGGTCTATAGAGGTTCTAGTCTATAGAGGTTCTGGTCTATAGAGGTTCTGGGTCTATAGAGGTTCTGGTCTATAGAGGTTCTGGGTCTATAGAGGTTCTGGGTCTGTAGAGGTTCTGGTCTATAGAGGTTCTGGTCTATAGAGGTTCTGGTCTATAGAGGTTCTGGTCTATAGAGGTTCTGGTCTATAGAGGTTCTGTCTTGGTTGGTCCATGTAGTGACGTACAGCTGGTGGTTCCTGGACAAACTGACCAGTTTCCACCGCTCTCAGGGAAATGATTGGGTCATTTTTCTTTAACTAGCCCAGCATGTTCGTACCTGAATAGCTCAACTTGTTTGACCTGATTAGTTGTGTTGCAATAGCTCAGTTTTTTTCTTTTCTAAGTTTTCTTAAATTTCTAGTTTTGACCTTTTTTTGTCAGTAGATTGATGCAACAAACCAAATATGAGACTAAATAAACGTTGAGATCTGAAGCATTAAGAAGGTAAAGCGTCGGTCTGATGGACGGCTGCGGATCCTCACGGCTCTTTCCTGCTGGGAGAAATGGAGCCTTTTGCTTTGGGGATATTCCTAATCCAGATGCTTTGTGTTCTGCAGAAAGCCCAGATTACCCGAGCATGCCCTGCCTTTGTGTAGGTCAGGATGGATAATGTAGATTAAGCAGGATTAATAATCCTGGTGTTTTGTTTGGGAATGATATGGATTGTTTTTAGAGATTTGAAAGACTTGGAGATGTTCTTCCTGGTACTAATGTCCAGAGGTGAAATCCCAGGAAAGTTTTGCTGATGTGCTCATCAGACGTCTTCCTGACAGAAGACTGCAAACATCTTGTGGAACATATTCCTCGTTAGAGCGGTGTGGATCTCATGATGAAACTTTGCCGTGCAGTTTGAGCGCATGTTGGGATCATTGCCACATTCATGACCCAGTTTGGACCAAACTTCAGCTGTGGGACAGTTGGACCTCATTGACTGTGGAGAACCTCTGGTCCACTCAGACTGAGACCCTTTCCCAAGTCTTACCTTCACCCCAAAAGGCCAAGTTGACCTTTTGCCTTTTCACATCTCATCTCAGGAGAACAGAAAACTTCTGCTGATGAGATTTCCGGTACATATCCTCAAGTGAATACTCAGTCTGACATCTACGGCGGTCAGTAGTGGGACTGCTGAAGGAAGCGTAAAGAGTCGGGTGTAGGCGGTGTGTCTTGACTTTAACAATAACGATTATTTGTTCTGTAGAGCCAGAGAGGTTTTGTTGGAGCACACTGCAGCAACAAACCCATTGCTGTGAACTAATGGATGCTAAATCATCACCTTGTGCTGCCATGCTTTACTGTTAGTGTGAAGGTCCAAACGTTTGTTGGCCAAACATCCCTAATTTGGTCTGGTCTGTCCAGAGCACGTCGTCCTTCTTCAGGCTCTTTCCTTTTACCATGACTGCATCGTTTCGCTACGCTAGCATGAATGTACATTACTGCGTTGATCTTCTGTGAAGTCATTACATTCAAAGCGTGCTTAAGTGCTTCCAGCTCATCCCGTTGGTCTGAACAGTCGCCCACTCATCGCTGCTCTCCGTCTCTAACTCGCTCTGCTCTGCTCTCTCTGCAGATATTGACATGAAGAAAGACATCGAGACTCTAATAGCAGAGGAACGGGCCGACATCATCCTAAAATATGCTACGGTGAGTCTCTGCAGATCAGCTTCCTGCAGATCTTCCTGTTGAATCTGCGGCTCTGCAGAGTTCAGAGGAGATTGGATGGTTGTGGAAAAGCCACTGGGAACGCTGGGAAGGATGGAAGCAGGATTTAAGATGTTTGTTTGTGAGTTGTGGTTGGTGCCTGTGAGGAGGACAATAAACGAGTGGGAAGATGCGTGTTTGGCTGCCAAAGGGCTTTTATTATGTAACAGAGTGTTTGTGTGTGACGTTAGGATTATTGGAGAACAACAGATGATTTAACTGCAAGATAACCAGTGATCTGGGTAAAACTCCTCTTCCCATACTGTCCTCTCCAGAACCTGTGTTCTGGGTCTGAATGGACACCTCCTCCTCCTCCTCCTCCTCCTCCTCCTCCTCCTCCTCCTCCTCCTCCTCCTCCTCCTCCTCCTCCTCCTCCTCCTCCTCCTCCTCCTCCTCCTCCTCCTCCTCCTCCTCCTCCTCCTCCTCCTCCTCCTCCTCCTCCTCCTCCTCCTCCTCCTCCTCCTCCTCCTCCTCCTCCTCCTCTTCTCTCTTTCTCCTCCTCCTCCTCCTCCTCCTCCTCCTCATACTCTTCCTCCTGTATTTCTCTCTGTTATGTCAACACTCAAACCGCTGAGAGGTTTTTCTGAACTTTGCTGCTTTAACCAGATTCCAGATTCTGATTCATTTTTTTTACTTAAAAATCTGATTTTACTTTTCTTTTTCTTTTCTTTATTATTTTTGATTTTCTTCTTACTGTTTTATTTTGAAAAGTCTCTTTTGTGCACTATACTTCATATGAATATTATTACAAATTGTTTATTGTTTAAAGGTTCAATCCTCTTTTTAAAACAATTTCCAGGTCACTTTACCTTCAGTGAACTGAAACAGCTCAGAATCAGTTTTTGCTGTTTTCATTTCTGACATGGAATCTGTTATGCTGTAAATTAAAATATTGAAAATTATTACGTTTTTGTAACATTTTGAAAAGTCTTTTCTTTTCCTATTGGCTGCAGGAGGATTCAACATGTCCGCCCTTCCTGACTTCTTCTTCCTGCCAGTAAATGTGGTTGTTTCTGTGTTTCCAGGGCAGGCAGGGCGGCGTGGAGATCGACCCCTGGGAAGATGCTGATTACAGCGTCTATAAAGCCATCGACCGCTTCGGCTTCATGCAGTAAGTCGCAGCATCATGTGGCCACTTGGTGGCGCTGTGAGCAGCTTTCTGCTGGTCGTTGCCTGATGCTTTGTTTGTTCCCTGCAGTGAGAATGAGCTGCCGGCCCCAACAGTTCAAGAGGAGAAGGTAAAGACCGAAAACATTTCAAAGCTCAGGAATCAAACAGTTTCTGTTGACTTTCTACTGTCTCCTCAGCGGAAGCAGCTGGAGGTCGAGAGAGCAGAGAAATGGCTGAAGATGGTGAATAAATGGGACAAATACAAGAACAGTGACAAGGTGAGGCACCACTGGGACGCCGTAGATCTAGAAATACGAGTCAAAACAGACAGGCTTCCTGTTCCAGGACCTCTTAAAACGTGGATTGTGTCAAATACAGCTAAACTCAGCAGAACTCTTGAGGTTTCCTGTCCAGCAGAGTCTGACTGAATTTACTGAAAAACCTTGAATATCTGCAAGGCTTTTGGTCTGTAAAACATGCATATTTGTACTGAATGTATTTTTATCCTGATTTATTCCCGATTGCTGCAGAAATCTCTTTAAACATCACTTTGCTGTGACTGGTCGTGTTAATCATCTGATCTCTGTGTGACTTTCTGAATATGTTTCTGATGTGACGAGTTCGGCTTCGTTCCTGTGAAGCCTGGCGCTGACTCAGTCTGCTCTCTGCTGGCTGGCAGATGGTGAAGCGGGTCTATAAGGGCATTCCCCTGCAGCTCCGGGGCCGGGCCTGGACCCTGCTGCTGGACGTGGAGCGGACCAAGAGGGAGAACCTGGGAAAATACGAGGTGAGGATTCATTTCTCTTCGTTCGTTCATCAGATTTCGTCGCGTTCCTGAGTTCGTTTTGCTGCTTTGACTCTTAGAAAATGAAGGAGCAATACAGACTCTGTTCCTCTGAGATCAAGCAGATCGACCTGGACATCAACAGAACCTTTCGGAACCACATCATGTTCATGGACCGCTTCGGGGTCAAGTAGGTTTCAGTCCGAATCTTTCTGAGTAACATTTTCAGGAGTCAGTGAGGAAGAGCCTGTTAGTCCAACAGCAACACAAAGAGTCACAGACAAACTGAACGAAACATAAACGCCATGTTTATATTCACACAAGATCATTTTCAGCTTTTCTGAACAACTTATCTTAAAGACTATTTTTAGATAATAATGTAAAAATAATTAAACATTTTATTGACAGCATATCCAAATCATGCATGCCTGAATTTACAAGTTAAAAGTCAGGTAGAAAAAAGGTCAAATAAAAATAAATGTTTTAACTCCAGTAGAAGCAGAAAGTTCTCATCCAAAACAGATGTTTAATAAAAGAGCTAATTTGTTACAACGCCTGAATTAATGTGTGAAAATGATCCAATCAGATGAATGAAAATATTAGATTACCTGCAATTACAAAAAACAAAATAATAAAGGAGTGAAAAACACAAACATGATTACAAAATAGAGAAAAGATGCAGGCAGAAAGAAACACATTAACAGACAACAAAGAAACTGAACGACTGACAGTTTATCAGATTTCTACATCCATCGATTATCATTCCAGTTCTCATGTCTTCAGTATGTTCATCAATTCTTCTACCAATTTTTCTCTCAGTTTTATTGAATCTTTAAATCCCTGAGATGTTTTTATGCTGCTGCAGCTTCTCATCTACAGGCTGCAGAGTGAAAATGTTTCTGATGAAAAATGTCCAGTTTTTCTGAGGTGGATGAGAATTAAAGTACAGTCAGAAAGTATTCACATTTGTCACATTTCAACCACATTTTGGGATTCAGACGGAAAGAAATGTTTAAATGGAAGGATTAGATCTGAAAAGTGTGGCCTGCATTTGCATGAATATTTCTGTTTTGCTTGTACAGATAAACTCCAATGGATGAAATGGAAACATTAGGAAAGAGTCTGAGGTTATTAATAACGTGATTGATGTGTTTATGTCTAATCTCTGATGTTTCCTTCTCCTCAGGCAGCAGTCGCTCTTCCACGTCCTCTCTGCATATTCAGTTTATAACACTGTAAGTAGCTACTTTCCTTCCAGTTTAACAATAATCATGTTGGATGTGAAATGTGTGCAGGTTTTCCTAACAGCCTGCTGACACGACGCTCTGCAGCAAACATCTCATATTCTGCTCTGTTAGGCTGCAGACAGGCTGATCACTGAATCTGGATCAGTTTGCAGTTCAGTGCTTCTCTCTGCGACCAGAAAAACAACGTCTTTTTATTCTGTAGAGAAATCTTACAGTGGATCTTTCTGCTAGTTGACCTGAAGCTGAACCAGAACCAGCGACCGCTCCCGGCCCCGCAGGACTGGACCGTGTTTTTATGTTGTTATTTTGTTCTGTGTTGTCTGCCGCCTGCAGGAGGTGAGCTACTGCCAGGGCATGAGTCAGATCGCCGCCCTGCTGCTGATGTACATGAACGAGGAAGACGCCTTCTGGGCGCTGGCGCAGCTGCTGACCAACGATCGGCACGCCATGCATGGTGAGCTGCAGAACGCCGCAGGGCAAAATGTTTTCACCTCAAGACCTCCAGTCTGCTGCGACTGTTAGGCATGATTCTGGCTTGTGCTAAAAGTCACAGGTCAGGATTTATACTGGTGGTTTTTAGGGGATTTCTGAAAAAGAGTTTTTGAGAATCTCCGGTTTGCAGATACGACTTAATAAACTGTCCTGTGGAGCTGTGAAAGAAGACATAAAGAGTTTTAAAAACATTTTCTTACCAGGAAGTTTCATGTTCCTGATCCAAAGTGATGCATCATCTCTCCTTATATGGTCGTGCACATCCCGTCTTGCATCACAGTGAGAGAAAACTCCAGAAAAGACCAACCATGGTTCTTTCTGTTAGCTCCGTCAGGCTCTCTAAGTTATCTGCCATGAAAACGACTCTTTGTTTCCAGGCTTCTTTGTTCCTGGATTCCCCAAACTTCACCGGTTCCAGGCTCATCATGACCAGATCCTGTCCAAACTCCTCCCCAAGCTGAAGAAGCACATGGTGAGCTCTCAGCCTGCCGTGGAAACGACGCGATGCTGAAGGTGGTGATGTTTCTTCTGCTTCCTGCTCGTGTTTGTGGCTCTGCAGGACCGGGAGCAGATGTCTGCAGGGATCTACTGCACCAAATGGTTCATGCAGTGCTTCATCGACCGGGTGAGGAAGGAGACCCGTCCGTCTCATGACGATCAGATTAGATAACTTATCTGGATAATTTGCCAGCTTACATCACAAACAGCTCTCTGTTCAGCAGACTCAGGTTTTAACTAGACCGATCTTGAAAGGCTTCAGGGTTTTATTTAATTCATTCATGTGTGAATGAGTGAAATAAGCATTTCATCAGCCTTCAGTATGAAGCACTAAGAAAATGTGCTGTATAAATAAAATGACCTTTATTCTCCTAAGATGTTTTCAGTAGCAGACGCTGATCCTCCAGTCCAAACAGGCTGAGCTGATTAAAAAAACAACGTGTTGATTTTGGCATTTCTGGCCAAAAACTTCTGAATCATCAGGAAACCCAACACTGAACATGTTCGTTCAACACAAACTGAATCACAACATTGGTGTTCAACTGAACGTCGATTCCTCTGCCTGTAATCGGAATATATGGAGATCAAATGGGGCCATAACTCTGTTTAGGAAAATAATAAATTGGAATTGGACAATAAAGATTCAAAATTTCAGAAAACTTAAAAAAAATGTTGATACTGAAAACAAACAAAAAAAAAGACTTAAAATCAAAAATACATTTCTCATAAATATTTACTATTGTAAATAAAAAACCTAAAATATATGTTTTTTTTTTAATTAAAACTAAAAAACATATTTTTAAAAAGTTAAAAATAAATGATAAATTGATTCTGTTGAAGTTATTAAATATTTATTTAAACCAAAAACTTGCATGCAAAGTTTTTATTCATCTTTTTTCATGAAATTCTTTTTCTCTATTTTCCTACTTTAAAATAAAACAACAAAATATTTAATTTTGTTTACAACAGGGGATCAAATACTTCATAAATAAAGATGTACTTAGTTCTCTTCACTTTGACTCCAGCTGTGGTGTAAAAGAACATTTTCTCGTTAAAAGCTGGTATTAATTACCGGTGAAAATTGCAGCAGATATACAGAATTATGAGCATTTTATTAGATTCTGTGAACATATTTAAGAAGAGCGCCACCTACAGAACCAGGATCCTTCCTGCTCCTGATTTCAGATGATTTCAGCAGAAGAATCCTGGTGAAATCTGAGCCTGGCTCTGCAGTAGGTGGGAGCTTTAGGAGCTGTCAGGCTGCACTGTTATTAGTCTGTGTGCCACAATCCTGTGGCGGTGATCTGGCGGGTTTCAGCCTCCGTCAGCACTTCTCCATCCTGCTGAGTCGCTCAGAGAACGCGCTGAGGTTTGGGACCCGGCCAGATAAACTTCCTGACTCGGACCGGCAGCGGAGGGGCAGACCTGCGGACGAAACCAGAACCTGGCGGTGACCCGTTGTGTTTGTGACCCTGCAGACGCCGTTCACCCTGACCCTCCGGCTGTGGGACATCTTCATCCTGGAGGGACAGCGGCTCCTCACCGCCATGTCCTACACCATCCTGAAGATACACAAGAGTAAAACCACCAATCGTTTTCCACCCACACTGATCGCTCTGCACCTCTGACACAATGATTCACTTCTACATAGGAACCAAATCTGGAGTTCAAAACTGTTTTAACCTCCATTTTTTACATCTTGGTTCCAAATTGTTGTCATTTTAAATTAAAAAACTTCTTTGTTCATTTGAGCCAAATTTTAAATTAAAACCAAAACATTTATTATGAATTTATGAGAAATTGTTTTTAACATAGTTCAGTTTAAATATGTAAATAAACAAGAAGATGGATGGATGGATGGATGGATGGATGGATGGATGGATGGATGGATGGATGGATGGATGGATGGACGGACGGACGGACGGACGGATGCTGTTACTGAGTAAATGTCATATTTCAGGTTTTAGAACAAAGAACTGATGGATGGATGGATGGATGGATGGATGGATGGATGGATGGATGGATGGATGGATGGATGGATGGATGGATGGATGGATGGATGGATGGATGGATGGTTGGTTGGTTGGTTGGTTGGTTGGATGGATGGATGGATGGATGGATGGATGGATGGATGGATGGATGGGATGGATGGATGGATGGATGGATGGATGGATGGATGGTTGGTTGGTTGGTTGGTTGGATGCTGTTACTGAGTAAATGTCATATTTCAGGTTTTAGAACAAAGAACTGATGGATAGATTTGAAAATCTGATCTTTTCCTCCTGAAATCCAGATGCTGATTTTTTTGTTCATTCAGTTCAGCTTCACATTAAACTGAATTTCATCAGATTGAACTCTGGATGAACTGATTGTTGTCCAGTTTCCAGCTGTCACTGGTGAAACTGGGAGGTTTGGTCCTGACCCCCGTCACCCAGCTGTTTGTTCCTCGCAGAGCGGCTGCTGAAGATGTCTCTGGAGGAGCTGCGAGAGTTTCTTCAGGAACGAATCGCCCAGCAGCTCTTCCACAGCGACGACCTGATCATCGAGCAGCTGCAGGTCTCCATGTTGGAGCTGAGGAAGATGAAGCTGGACCTTCCTCCTCCAGGTACGGCGTTGCGCCTGAAGTTTCTCCATCTCCAGCTGAGTCTCTCTCATCGTTCTGTTCGGTCCATTTCCAGGGAAACCCGAGGAGCTGCCTCAGAAGCCTCTGGGCCAGGAGCTGCCGGTCCTGCTCGGCCCGGTCCAGCCGTCCTCAGCCACTGGGTTCCACAGAGCCGGCCTGAGTCTCCACATCATGTCCCATCAGCCGGACTCCATTTCCCCAGACCAGAGCCCCTCCAAGGACCCCAGGGATCTGGACGTGGTGGAGGAGCAGGAGGCCCCGCTGCCCTCTCCTGACCCCATCATCATCCACAGCCAGGTGCCTCTCACACCTGATGGCTCCCCACTGATGGGGCCGCCGCCTTACCGGCCCCCAGGGAGTCCAGGTCATCCGTCGCTGCCAGGAGACCAGGACTGGGAACCAGCTGGCCGCTCAGCATCTCCGGTTTTGGTTCTGGCTCAGTCTGAGTGCCTGTCTGAATCAGAAAGTACTGAGGACCGAGACACGTCCCAGCTTCTGGACCCAGACTCGACTCTGTCCTCCAGCAGGAGCACCGACCGGAACCAGAGTAGAGAAGCAGAGGAAAACCCGCCACCGAACGTTTCATGAGCAGCAGATTAACTGTTCGAGTTTGGCCTGAATGTTTTATTTGGTTCAGCAGGTTTTTGTGGCGACGGAAAATGTTCTGTTTTAAGACTGAAGTGAGTTGGTATGCCACTCTTTGGCCTTTTCCAGGTAACAGTTCAGATGTACATGATGACTCCAACACGTCTCCCACAGAGTCAAAGTCCAGACGGTTCAGTCAGGAAACACCAAACGTAAGGTTGGTCCATATTCATCCACTGACTCAGCTTCCTGGATGGTTTTAGCTCAGAACCCAACATGTTCATACGGTACAGAAACACTCCTGTTGAAGTTTGAATCCACTTCTCTCTAATTATAACTCGACTCAACAACATCGTATTTAATACAAGCTAATGCTAAAGTACTAAAACAGCATTTAGTGGAAGCTAATGCTAAGGCGCTAACATTAAACATGTTGATACTCATCATATCAATGCTGAGCTAAAACATAGTTTATCACCTCAGGCTCAAATTTGTCAATACATGATTTATTGACAAATTTGTGCTTTATAATTTACCTAAAAAATTATTTTGGAAAAGCTAAGTGCACTGAAAATGCACAAAACATGGCTGTTAGTGGAGGTTTGTGATAAAAGTTTTGCCCTTCAGCTGAGAGTTGCTGGATGAAAATGGACCCAGTTTGGCAGCAGATCAGATTCCATCTGCGTTGGTCAGGAGATCCGACTTTGGAGTCGTCTTCCCGCTCCTGTTTGGACTTCTAGCTGGAATTAAGTTCTGAAACTTCCCCCTTTACAACTAATTACACTTTTCTAGATTTGTAAAGTTTTTGGTGATGTAGACCTGCTCAGTCTGCCTTTTTAAACTGTTTTAGTCACACTTTGGTTTTGATTTTTTGTGCATAACAATGTCTGGATGCCTTATTTGGATGGGCTTCAGTTCTTCTGTGGACAGCTTTGAGGTGTTGGACCAATCAGAACCTCTGTCACAGTGAGCGGGCTCACTCTTCTGATTGTACACATGGAGCTAAATATTAGGAAGTGTTTTTGTAGCTCAGTTATTTATGGCTCGAACAGCAACTCTTTATTTTCTCCTTTAAGATTCTGTTTTATTTGTTGCATATTGGAAAACTTGATTTTGAGGTGATAAATAATTTTGTGTTAGAATTTGACAGTACTGTAGATCCAAGAGGCAAAATTGGGTTAAAGTTGCTCCTCTGTGATTAGAAATAAGGAAACACTGACATCTAGTGGTTGCTTTAGGTGTAGAGCGTCTCCAGTTGTGGATTAGCTAAAAAAAAGTAGAAATATTGTAGAAAAGATTTAAACTTTAAACTAAAGTCAAGATTAAAATTTTGATGCTGTTAATTTATGAATATGTTTATATTTCACCAAGTGATAAAACGTTAATTGTCAGTCGAAGTCGCTTCAGGTTTTTGGTCGTAAATTGTAACTGTTAAAAAATCAGATTCTGCAACAATACATCTTGTATATCCTTTGTCCTGTGAGTGTGTAGTGTGTCTTTTTATTGTAAAACATTTGTCGTCGTCCACAGAGGCCGTTTCGTTTCTACTGATCTTGATGCCAATCCCAAAAGTCTTGTGATCTTTCTGCTCTCGATCTGGACCTTGTCAGAGTTAAGAGAACCTGACTGGTTTGCTTGGAGTTCTTTTGTTGGTTTGTCTGTACAAAGAAGATGAGTTAACTAAGACAGAGGAAGAGTATTTCAAAACCTCAAAAGGAAATCAATCTGGAAACATCTTAATGTAGCACTGTGCCTCGTTTCTATTGAGCGGTACATTACAGGTTGGTGTGGTTTGGTACGTTATTTTAACTGCTTTCATTGTAAAAATGGTCCAGCAACCAATCCATACTGCACCATTCCTGACTCCCTGCAGCTGGAGGTCCTCCATGGGACTGTGAGACAGTCAGGTTGAAGCTACTAGCATCACGCAACACAGTCCATTGATTGGCAGACAGAAAATGTCACTGCTCATGACATGCATAGTGCATCGAGTTTTTTTCATTGCGTTAGTGAGACGCCACATTTAGGTTTATCCCACCTGCCTATTGAGAGTCCAACTGATGGCAGAACCAGGGGGGGACCCCAAGCATCCCTCCCCGATGGATACCAACACCACCCAGCTTATTCTGGTGCTTTCCAAGGTGTATTTGATCATAAGGGATGCAGAGTCCCTACAGCAGTAATGTCCATAATGTTGGACATTAGAACAGCCATTGTTCTAGATGTTTTATACGCCGCCCTGGTCAAAACACATGAATTACATCATTGGTTCATTGAGAGGGGTCTGAAAAACTTGGCCACATTTTGAAAAGGTCATTAAGCTGTTTGAATCAGCTGTTTCCTAACAAGAACATGACCACAACCTGCACGATACCAGTCCTTCTGGAGTTGGACACACCTCCCTACAGTGACTTCTGGTTACCTTTTGGGGACCCCAGAAAGGTGGAGGAACTCTAATAGACCCCTGAAGAACCTCAACAAGAAGATGGGATACAGCAACTGAAAACTACTGTTTGTGTTTACATGACCCTGCTATCACCGGAATCAAAATTTTAAGCCGTTAGCAGGACTGAAGATCATGTTTGCATGCTGAGGAGACAAACCAGGAATTTGACTTGAATATGTTTGTATTTAGAAATCAGGGAAAGGTCTAAAGGTTGCAGGATACCGACCCAGAGCCCTGGAGGTCAGAGCCCCCCTTTAATTCAGCTAAACCTGTAGAGATGAGCTTTCAATGAACTGATGTAAGGTGGGGCTTAGGAATCCCAGCAGCTCCAGATGTCTCTGGATGATGACATCACTGCCTGAATACTCACTGCTGTTTGGAGAAGTTGAGAGGATTTTATCTTTGGTCACCATCATTTTAATCTTCCAGGTTGGTTGAGTTTGAACAAACAGAGGAAAGGGCAGTTTTCATTTCTCAGAACATTTCTCTCCATCTGAAAATCTCTGGATGAGAAACGGTGTGATCGTCATTAAAATGTATTTTTCTAGGAGAAAATCCAGCAGTGACTGGGGACGAGATCAAGTTTGTTTCATGAAAATGTATTCACCTGCTACAACAAGCAAAAAAATAAAAAGAAAAAAAAACATTTTCTTGCTTCTACGTTTTGAAATTTAATCCAAATATTTCAGGAATGGTTTTCTATTCTTAACAATATAGTGACTACCGTTCAATAATTTTATTAAAATAAATAATTTTGAATCTCAACAATTTAAAAGTGAGCCCGCAACTTCCGGTGACCGACACCGGAAGTGCCTTTGCTAGCTGCTGCTACCGCCGCGGGTGTTGCCGCTCCGAAAAACGGTTCAGCATGACGGTAAGTACATGGGATTTAATTACATTTTTCTGCAAGGTTAACGAAGGACAATAAAAACACACAACAAAACCTCTTTCTTTAGCTAGCTAGTCTCTTTCTTTAGCTAGTTAACCTCTTTCTTTAGCTAGCTAACCTCTTTCTTTAGCTAGCTAACCTCTTTCTTTAGCTAGCTAGTCTCTTTCTTTAGCTAGCTAGTCTCTTTCTTTAGCTAGCTAACCTCTTTCTTTAGGTAGCTAGTGTCTTTCTTTAGCTAGCTAGACTCTTTCTTTAGCTAGCTATCCTCTTTCTCCAGATAATTTCTCTAGAACCAGTTGGTTCATTAAATAACTGTTGAATGAACCCATCACAGTGTCTGCCTTCTATTTCATGCTTTTTTCCCCCTCAACTACATTTTATGGCAACGTGGAACCATCAAAAGTGCTCTTTGCCTGTCTGTAAATAAGATAAAAATGTTCCATGTTCTTTGGATGAAAGCAATAAATTAAATTATCACAGGATTTATATAGTTGACTTGATGAGTTTTATTGCCATGTCTACTTTGTCGTTCAATGTAAAACGTGACATTAAAGCCTTATTTCAATGTGACATTAAGTTCTACACACTTTGAAAATATTGTAAATGTTTTTTTTAAATACTAAATTAATTTAGAATATTTAATCTAGTATTGGGAAAAGCAAACATCAATCTGAGTATCGTTATTCTTTATGTGGGTCCTAAAAGAGAAAACTCTTTAGTTAATTTGAATAACAAGCTGAATGTTGATGCATCATTTAATAACCAGCATCAATTGCATTGAATTGAAATGATTTCTATTTTTTTGTAAAGTGCCTCATGTTACCAATTGGTTCTGTGTGAGTAAATAAATTTGTGTTTGTGTACCAGAGTGACTGCTGAAGGTGGAAACACATTAAAGCTTAAAGTTGAAGGAACAACTCAAACTGGAGGAAGACATTGACTGCATTAAAGTCACAGCGCTCTAAAAATGGGTGAAAAACAGACGACTTCAAATTGAATTAAATGTGGAAAGAAGAACAATTACAGCAGTTTTCTCTTTCATGATTCAGTTACAATGAAACAGAAAGATATGGAAAATAATGTTCTGATCAAGCAACAAGGCCCCCAAGAACTTTGTTTGTTGCCTCTTTATGATCACAATCGGTATGAAAGCATTTAAATATGAGTCACAGTTCAGGCAATGAAAAGCCATGGACATCCAAAGGAGTTTGGGCAAAGATGCTTCCCAGTCCTGAAAGAGGAAACATGAAAGAACATCCTGTGAGAGCAACTTGTGAAGGAGTAGAAGGTATAACAAGTTTTCACATGGCCTCCCCTGAAGAATGGGTGTGGAAAGACTTTTCCATAGAGGTTGCTTTGAAAGAGAGGAAATATTCCCTGGATCAGTTGACCTTGTCAATAAGATGATCAACTAAAGTTGCCCTACAAATGGAGGATCTACAGCCTGTGCAGCACTGAACAGATTTAACCAAATGGTCAATACTGATGAGTGAAAATCTTGTATTTGGAAACATCAGTGATGCTTTTTTATTATCTGCAGTAAATGTTTGAACAAACATGGAGAACTGCCTCATTTTAAATTAAAGGGGAGGAGATGTTGCTCCACACAGAAGGAAACATGTCTGACAGCAGAGACAGTGTGTTGGGGAGCACATACTCTAGCATCATGTGCAGAGTTGGAATGATGCAGGTTCCTGCTCCTGTAGCATCATTCCTGATTCTTCATGATAATCCTTCATGTTACGCAGCAGGAACCAATAATTATATACACATATTATCTGCATTAGCTACGTTTGCATTTTAATGATTTAAAGACTTTTAATACGTTTACAATTAGGATTTTATTATTTTATTGCATGAACGTTTAATTGAGTTATTTAATTCTGTCCATTCTGGCCACACGGGGCGCTGAAAAGCAGCACTGATCTCAGGTGTGATGTTGAAACTTTGATGTTGTTGGTCATTTTTCCCCTTTAAACCGCGTTTAACTTCCTCTGCTGTGGGTGAAGTGAACAGAAAATATTGAATGCAGGTTTAAAACTGATCATCAATAAGATGTGAAAAATGAAACAAGATGACACAATCAGTAGATCAATAAAATAAACTATTAGATTTGACTTTATAACAATCAGAAGCAGAAAATATCAGATTTACTGCTGAGGATGTTTCCAATATCTTAAAATCATCTTCATCAGATCAACGATCAGCCTGATTAACAGGACAAATGATCAGAGGAGCAGAGTTTTTACCTCCATCATTTAGATAGGGACTGAAGTATGGGTATAGTTTCTGAGTGAAGCAGCAGCCAGTAAAGGAGTAGATCAGAGCTGCAGCATCTGCATCATAGAAGGACCAGACCCTCCTCATAATCCACAAACACCCCCACCTTCTGAGGACCAGGATGGAGATGGAGACGGACTGAAGGTGCAGCAAGAGCTTCATACTCATTTCCATTTCTCAACCTCCAGGTCTCACTGTCATTGCCCACGTGAGCATAGAAGTCCCTCAGTAGAAGGAGGGAGTCCCCAGTAGGGGCACTCTCCAGTACCCCCTCTAAGGACTCCAAAAAGGGTGGGTAGGCTGAACTGTCATTCGGCCCGTAAGCACAAACAACAGTCAGAACCCGTGCCCCCACCCGTAGGCGGAGGGAGGCTACCCTCGTTCACCAGGGTAAACCCCAACGTACAGGCGCTGAGATGGGGAGCAACAAGTATACCCACCCCTGCTCGACACCTCTCACCAAGGGCAACTCCAGAGTGGAAGTACATCCAGCCCCTCTCAAGGAGACTGGTTCCAGAACCATGCGTCGAGGTGAGACAGACTATTTCTAGCCGGAACCTCTCAGCCTCACACACCAGCTCCGGTTCCTTCCCCACCAGAGTGGTGACATTCTACGTCCCAAGAGCCAGTTTCTATAACCGAGGATCGGACCATCAGGACCTCCTCCCTCGGCCACCACCCATCACACGCTGCACCCGACCCCTGTGGCCCTTCCCGTAGGTGGTGAGCCCATTGGAAGAGCCCATTGGAAGAGTTTGTTTCTGGTTTGATCTCTTCGGGCTGAGCCCGGCTGGGCTCCCTTGGTTAAAGCCCGGCTGCCAGGCGTTCACCAACGTGCCCCACCTCCAGGCCTGGCTCCAGAGTGG